AGAGAGAGAGAGAGAGAGAGAGAGAGAGAGAGAGAGAGAGAGAGAGAGAGAGAGAGAAAGTTGGGTTTAGAGGCACGGCGTCCCTGCCCGGCTCGGGAGGGCCTCGGGACTCGGATAATGACAAGCCGGAGAGAAACAGAACTGTAATTTCTGCATCGGGAAAGAGGGACGCCCGTCTCTCCTCGTGTTTCACGGAATTCGTTAAGACGATTTTCGAAGAGCGAGTGTGTAATTCCCGGTACGGGACTGGTCGAAACGTAGCATCAAATTGACGACTCTTCTCTCCGATTACGGGGGTTCTTCGAGGAGAAGCGAACAAACACGAGATAGCTCGACGATTTTTCGCGTCCTTGACGAATCTCGCTCCTCCCCTCTCCCAGATGAACGAATATCCCGAGTCGAGTCGGATCGAGTCGAGGTTGAATTATTCCCTCGGATTTTCGGAAACACGATGGTTGGGACGCGGTTAAATTTCAACGCGGTGGAGGAAAAAGTTTCTCGAGCTTCGGGTCTCCATCCGTTTTCCAACCAAAGTTTCGTCGTGGAATCGAATTTTCTCGCCTCTTTAATCTTCTCGCATCGCGCGAATATCGTGGCAACGCGATTCGAAGAGAAGGGAATAACGCGTGAGAAAGTAGAGATCTTTCTCTCTCTTTCTCTTTTTCTCTCTCTTTTTGCGTTTTCGAATTATTTCCTTATTATAGAGAAAAATGTTGTAGCAGGTTTTTGTGGTTCGACCTAGGTTTGCGCTAATTTTATCGGATTCGCGGAATATTTGATTCTCTCTCTCTCTCTTTCTCGGTTCACCTTGACGCGGATCTGTCGCAATTTACAGCTGCATTGCGTCTTCGCGTTACGAGGAAAAGCATGTGAAAAGTGAGTGTGCGTCGGTTCTTGGAAAGCGAGTGGACGAGAAGAGAGGCCAGGCAGCCTCAAATTTCATTCTCGGTCAGGGAGAATCGACCGGCTAGCTCGCTCCTTCCACCACGCCCCTAGCCTTCTCTGTCGGTCACGAGAATCGCGTTACGGTGCACGAGACAGATTAAACGGCTCGTTTTAATAACAAATCTCGATCGAGGATGTAAACGAGGGTGTTCGTCCCGTAGCCGCTACTGTTGCTGTCACTTTTGCCAACGGGATCGCGCGATGTTTTTTCAAAAAAAAAAAAAAAAAAAATTGTCAATAAATCGCGGTACACGGACATTGACGCGGTACGACGAAACGTCCGTTGTATTTTTACCTCTAACTCTCGGTTACGAGATAAGCGTAGTTACTATATTTACCGGTTGCGCGCTACGGTCGTTACGTTGCAGAAACCTCGATCGAACGGCGTATCGTTTCCGCCGGTT